CCCAGGTTGTTGATAGTGGAGGATTCAGTGATGGTAACACCATTGAATGTCAAGTGGCAGTGTCATTGCCTGGCATTTGTGTGGCATGAATGTGACTTGCCACTTGTCAGCCCAAGCTTGGATATTGTCCAGATCTTGTTGCATTGGGACATGGGCTGCTTCAGTATCTGAGGAGTCGCAAATGGTGCCAAACATTGTGCAATCATCAGTGAACATCCCCACTTCTGACCTTATGATGAATAGAAGATCATTGATGAAGTGGCTGAAGACGTTTGGACACTACGACGAGGAACTCTATGTCTGACTTTCATATCAGAAATGGTTGCTGTCTAGTTTCTGTCTGGTGGGTGGGAGAATGAGAAACTGCACATCAAAGAGACAAGATTAGATAATAATTGCATGCTAATATATGCAGATAGATGCAATTGGGCTCTCACTGCTCACTCGTGAGATTCTTGTTTTGCTGTTCAAAACTTGGCTGGAGAATCAGACTTTGTGAAGTTGAGAATCTAATTTCTGCCAATCTCACCCTATTTTCTCGACTGATTCACCAATGCCAGGAACTGTGAGGGTTCCATTCATTCTAGCCTGGCAAGGAGTCTAGGAGCTACTGGAGGACAGGTCTTACAAATATCCTGCCTCAGTGGACAGGTTCCACCAGAACAGGCTTTTCAAGGCCAAATCATCTTTATGGAACTCTATTTTGCAGCTTGAGTTATTAAACTGGAATCGTAGCTGCTGCATTTAAAATTCTGAGTCATTGCCATATATCAACAGCCCCCCTATCAAGACAGCTTTACTGGGATATACTCCAAGAAGACACTTCCAGCTCCAGTGTTTGGAGACACTCCATTGCACTTGTCTCAAACTGTTGTAGGTTGAAGTCACTTGTTCATTGGAATAAATTGAAAAAATCAGTAAGCGTCTTCGAGCATTATAGAATCTTACAGCTTTAAGAATATACAAATTAATTTTATTTATTTTGTACATCCACAAACATTATTGTTCCATCTTCCAATATGTCAGCAGCATCTACCATTTACATGATTTGCCACACTTATGTGCCAAATATCCTTCAACAACACATTCTAAATCCACAACCTCTACCATCTAGAAGGATTCAGACTACAGATCCATGGGAAAATCGTCAGTTGCAAATCCCCTTTGAAGGTCCACATCATCCGGATTTAGAACTACATTGCCATTTCTTCACTGCCACTGGATAAACATCCTGAAACTCTCATTAGCACTGTGGGTGCATCGTATCAGATTGACTATAATGATTCAAGAAGCTGACTCAACACAATCACTCTCTCAAGGACAATTCAGGATGGGTGACAAATACTAACCTTGCCAGCATTAACTGCATCCCATGGAATGAAGAACTGATGTGCCCCAACATAATTTGGTAAGTTTGTAAGATATGTGAAGAGATATATAACTCTTAGTTCAAGTCCAAATTACGTTGTGCAAATGTTGAAAGATGCAAATTATTTGGTAGAACATTTCAAGTGTCTAGGATGTTTACAATGTGATCATATAAACTGTTACAATCTGGGTTTACATGTAGTTGAAAAAATTGGGGCATTTAATTTTTGAGTGTACAATTCATACTGCAGTAATCAGCGGTTCTCAGAATCCCTACAGTGTGGAAGAAGGCCATTTAGCCCATCAAGTCTACACCGACCCTCTGTACAGCATCCCACCCTGACCCACCCCCTACCCTATCCCTGTAAACCTACATTTCCCATGGCCAATCCACCTAACTTACACATCTTTGGACTGTGGGAGGAAACCGGAGCACCCGGAGGAAACCCACGCAGCACAAGGGGAATGTGCAAACTCCACACAGACAGTCACCTGAGGGTGGAATCAAACCTGGTCCTGGGATTGTGAGGCAGCAGTGCTAATCAATGAGCCACCGTGCCACTGATTGTTCATGACTTGGCAAGTGGATATAGACTAAGGTCTGGATTGATCTCCAGTAGGGAACTGACCTTTGCACAGAGGCAGGGCGAATATTTCTGCCTCTGAATACTGGGTTTACTACCCAGCAAGATGGGGGCTTTTTAGCCCTGGGTTCAGCCCTCCAGCAGGAGGGTGTCTGAAGATAGAAACCATGGGAAAGATAACAGGGCAATGAGCTGAGGTGCTTGTCCTCAGTGACTGCCTCAAATTCTCAAGTGTGAGACTTGAGTTAGGAGCTACCCTAAGGGCAGAACACAACAGGTGGACAGACAGCTGAATACTTTTATTACTGTAATAACATTTTAGTGTCACAGTTTATGAACTGGAAAGTAATATGTTCAGCGCAGGAAGACTGCCGTTTCTTGAATCCATTCAATGTTTAATAATGAAATCATACTACTCCTAAAATAATTAAGGAATGGATTTTTATTTTTGTAGCACCGGTGAAGATAAGAAATATTGTAAAGGAATGATAACCAATGGAAAAAACTGTTTGGAAGGCTATCCAGAGGGAGAAACAGTGAAAGAAACAGAAACTAAATACATTAACAACAACTTGAATTTCATATTTAACACAATAAAACATTCCGAGGCACTTTGCTGAAGCATTGTCAAAAACTAATTTTATACCAACCACAAAAAGAGACATTGAGACAAGTGACCAAAAGCCTGTGAAAGAGGTGGGTTCTAAGGTGGAGACTTGAAGGAGGCTTCCAGTTAAGCAACAGCTATCTTTCAAAATTCCCAACCTTGTTTTCAAATGCCTCCATGATATCAACACTCCACATCTCCACAACTGACTAACACATGAAGAAGGACTGAGACTCCGAAAGCTTGTGTTTTCAAATAAACCTGTTGGACCATAACCTGGCGTTGTGTAATTTCTGACCTTGTCCGCCCCAGTCCATCACAGGCACCTCCACATCTTGCCCCCTCATCCACAACCCTCCAAGATATCTGTACACATCTAATTCTAGTCTTTACAATTCCTTCTTAAACCTCCCTGCCTCGCTCCCTGCAAAGTAGTTTGGGATTTTTCATGTGTTGCAAAGGTGCTACACAGATATAACTTGCTGTTGTTCAGAGAGAGCTGAAGAGGTTCAGGGAGAGAATTCCAGATATTAGATCCTAGGTAGCTGAAGGTACAGCTGCCAATGGTGAAATGATTAAAATCAGGGATGATCAAGAATTGGAGAAGCTCAGTACAAGAAAAACACAGAGAACAGTAATAAAGGTACCCAACATTGGAACGAAAAGAGAAAGATAAACAAGACACACAAACATAGAACACCCAACAGTCAAATCAGTCCAATAAGTGCAGTCACATGTTATCCTACAAATTATCCCCAGAACACACAATCTGTAAGGTTTTAGTAAATAGACTTCCAGACTTACACAGTCATAGAGTCATACACCATGGAAACAGACTCTTCAATCTAATTCATCCATGCCAACCAGGTATCCAACACTGAACTAGTCCCATTTGTTTGTCTTTGACCCATTTCCCTGTAAACCTTTCTTATTTATGTACCTCTCCAAATGTCTTTTAAATGTTGTAACTATACCTACCTCTACCACTTCCTCTGGCAGCTCATTTTATACACACACCACACTGTGTGTGAAAAAGTGGCCCCTAAGGACCCTTTTAAATCTTTACCCTCTCACCTTAAACCTCTAGTTTTGGACTCCCCCACCCTGTGGAAAAGACCTTATCTATTTGCCCTAACCATGCCCCTCATGATTTTATAAACCTCTATAAAGTCACCCCTCAGCATCCGTGGTTCAGTGAAAAACATCCCAGCCTATCCAGCCTCTCCTTATAACTCAAACCCTCCAGTCCCAGTAACATCTATGTAAATATATTTTTGAACCCTTTCCAGTTTAATAAAATCCTTCCTCTAGTAGGGCAAGCCGAATTGTATACAGTACTCCAAAAGAGGCCTTACCATGTCTTGAACAGTTGTAATGTATGATTTTGTTTTTCCATAACAAATCCAGGAACCTAGTTTCCTGCATTCTCTTGGAACATGGTTCTCAAATTGTAATTTGGTAGAAAAGAACTTAACTATTGCTGAGAAAAAATACATTTTGTCCAAGTTTTTCATCTTGCACTCATCATGACAATCATAAGTTGTGTCAAAGCAAAGGGAAACCAACATTTATATAGTATATAAGGAGAGTGTTGATTATTTGACAAGTGGACTTAGTTGGTATAATTATTGCCATGGAGAATGTACCAGTTAATGGTGATTGACAGTTAACTGTCAGGTTTTACTTAAAGTTGACTCTGATTGATCAAAGCATTGCCCTGATAAATGAACCAGGTGAATGAATGGTTGTCACCAGGCTTGTTAATTTGAAACTGACACCGCAAGACATGCCTAATGGTTATGAAAGTAACAGCAAGCACATACCATTATTTTGGTAGCCAATTCTGGGTCCATCGTTGCTTTTCAGGTGAAACACAAAAGAACACTTGAGAAAGTATTCAAGGACCTAACAGTTTCTGACTTATTGATGAATGCAATCATTGAGGATATGATTTGTTGCCAAGGCAGGAGGAATTTCAAAAAGTCAAAGACCTCAAAGATCCAAAGCGCCTGTTACATAAATCTGTAGACCAACCTAAATCATTCCTGTCTTGAGTGAAGATTGAAATGAATGTCGAGCGTTTCACCACAAATTGACCAATTTATTTTATTTTTAAGCTTGGTGCTCATTTTTTATTTTCTTATTCCTATCAAGATTTGTGCATTTTTTATCTGAATTTGTTTTAATAGTAAGTGCTGTGGTTTATAGGTGTGGGAACAAATTGATGTATTGATCCATTTTCTCTTAATACCATCTCCTCTTTCTGTACCATATCATAGCAAGCTAGTTTTACTTTGGGTTGAAGGCGAATAATTTATTAATATTTTTGAAAGAAATATTTGGCAAAATACACCAGATGATTCAGCTAAATAACGTTAACTGCTTCATGTTAATTATGAAATTCCAACATTCAAGGGGATCCTTTTGTATGAACACTGTACCTTTCCTCCTTCAGTTCCAAGGCCACAGTTATTAAGTCTCAGCTCCTTGAGGGTGAAACAGCTTCTGTTTCTCAGAAGATCTCTGCAGCTCTGAATTCCATCTGGCCCAAATGCATTATCACTCAAATCCAGCTCTGTCAGCTCAGCCCCAGCCAATATGATGGCTTCACCAAGTGACTTCTGAGAAAGCAATGAATAGAAAAATAAATACATTAACATGGCATTTTGCCCGTTAAATGAATGTCCTCTCTGAAGGCTAAGTTACAGTCCCAAGGTACTATTGTGCAAGCTGCACAGAAATAGCATAAATCTGATTTTGTAATTACACTGAAGCTCAATCTAGCCACCATGAATCAACACTTTATTTTTGCAGAATTAATATCAGAAAATATGCTGAAGGCTGAACATTTTCTTTATGCACTGTCATGTTGCCAGGGTTTCATAACCATAAAGGATATGCCTGTCATGTTATAATATATATTAATGGAAGTGAATTCTGTAGCCTTGAACTGACTCACAATAGCTTTTAACTTGAAAGCTACAATCTCAAAAGAAGTTTTTGATAACAGAATATTTGGAAGGAAGGAAGGCAGCTGGGTGTGCAATGTCTTAGAAACTTTTCTACCTCAAGGACTGAATACAAATTAAATTAGATTGTGTTAACCCTAGTTCTTGTTGAGTTGCACAAAATCGCCCTTAATTTGACACCACATGATCAGTCTCTACTTAAAGAAAGCCACACACTGGTGATCTGAAAAATCCAAATAACCCACCCTGATGGAGTGAGGGTGAATCTGTACTTTTGGATCTTGGTCTGTGTGTTTTTGGGATAGGCCAAAAGTGGATAATAGAACATTGAAATTACAGGCTGACCCCTGTTGAAAGTTATAACAGAAAACAGATTCATTGGAGTAAAAGAAGCTGAGACGCAGTGGTATGCCTGTATAGAGTTTATGGCATGAAGAGCCACACCCGTCACCAGTCACTCAGAATTGGGGAAGGGTCACTCGACCCAAAATGTTAACTCTGATTTCTCTTCACAGATGCTGCCAGACCTGCTGAGCTTTTCCAGCAATTTCTATTTTTGTCTCTGATTTGCAGCATCTGCAGTTTCTTTGGTTTTTATAAAGTCATGGGTGTGTTTCGTGGTGACTCAATCATAACTGTTACCATTGAGAAAGCTCATCGACTATGCTCCAATCAACTTGTTAACAGCTGATCTGAGAGCTTCTTGTCCAATCACTAGGACTTATCATTGACCAGAAACTCAACTGGACTCACCACATTAACACAGTGGCTACAAGAGCAGGTCAGAAGCAAGGAATACTGTGGTGAGTAACTCACCTCCTGACTCCCCAAATTCTGTCCACCATCTACAAGGCACAAGTCAGGAGTGTGATGGAATACTCCCTACTTGCCTGGATGAGTGCAGCCCCAACAACACTCAAGGAGCTTGACCCCATCCAGGACAAAGCAGTCTGCTTGATTGGCACCACATCCACAAGCATCCACTCTCTCCACCACCGACGCTCTGTACTATCTACAAGATACACTGCAGAAATTCACCAAAGCTCCTCAGACAGCACTTTCCAAGCTCACGACCGCTTCCATCTAGAAGGACAAGAATCGAGACATATGAGAACACCACCACCTTCAAGACTCCCTCCAAGCCATTCACCATCCTGACTTGGAAGTATATCATCGTTCCTTCACTGTCACTGGGTCAAAATCCTGGAATTCCCTCCCTAATGGCATTGCGGGTCAAACCACAGCGTATGGACTGCAACGGTTCAAGTAGGCAGCACATCACCACCTTCTCAAGGGCAACTAGGGATGGGCAATAAATGTTGCCCACCCAGTGATGCCCACGTCCCACAAAATGAATTTTAAAATATATCACAGGCTTCAAAAGTGGAGTTTCTCTTTGTCAGAAGTTGCCTGCCAATCAGAGGCTGGCAATCTCCAGATCCTAAAGGGCATTGGGTGAGGCTGAGACTTGGGGATCAAATACTGAGAAGGTACGACTTTTTCTTCCACCTCATGGGGCAGTCAAGTGGAAAAGGGGTCAGTGGTGTCAGAGAGAAGAACAGAGGGATGGCTTTCCATGCCTACCCCAATTGGTTCCAGACTCCCCTGTCAGTACTATCCTGGTTTCCCTTTCCCACTCCTGGGAATGTGGGAATTGGGTCAGTGGTGAGTTGACTGTTAATTGACCCCTAATAGATCGTATTTTAATGATGAGTTGAGAAAGTTCCCAGTGAATCTCTCGTTCATTGCTGAGGTAAGGGTAAAGGGGTGAGTATCAAATTATTTGCCCTTCCTGCCACCTTTCTTGCCACCTCCAGGGAGAAGAAAATTGTGCCTGAGTGTTTGTTCCCATGGACCCGTTTACAGGACTGGAAAAGGTTCAATGACCTTGTATGGATGGTTCTTATCTCTTATTCACTACAGCATCACCATAGCCTCATTAATCAACCACCAGCGAAATGGACTCATGTCTAACATTCAGATGCCCCATCTCACACTCACATCTTTACCAAGTCTGTCAACTTCATAACAATGCACTATCATAACAATCCATATACTTCCAGCTATTCACCAATGACATCAGCCCAAGTGACATTCTTCACTTTTTCTTGCAGGACTAGGTCTAAGTAACAACATGGAGCAGCAGAGAACTGGTGAGGGGACAGGGGTAGAGAAGACACTCTTCCCTATCAGGGGGCCAAGTTTTAGAGTGGCCACTGCACCACCTAAAACATTCATGTTGGCGATATCTTTGTGCCTTCTGCCCTTCCCAAGTTCCACTTCACCTTCATCCTGCTACATGGCATGAAGAGCCAGTTACAGAAGGTGTGACCATGGACCGCGTACTTTCTCGTCTACACTCCCTTCCCTCACACCTAAAACTCTCCTTCAATCATTTTGCTTTCAGATACCCTGAGTTTGTCACCTGACCAGCCAGTGTAGCCTCACTATGAAGGATGGGAGACTGCAGCTGCTGAAGATGCACGTGCCATCATTTGTTCCTCATACTCACCAATTCAGAGACCGGCACTACATGTACTTTAGAGAATCAGCACATTATGAGTCACTGGGCATGAATGGGCCACAGTGAAGTCAGGAGAAAGGATACTGCATGTATCAACTCACTGGAAAACTCTGCTGCAGATGAGTTCAGATGAGGAATTTGATGGAGTAATGTACAGGAAAAATACTGAAACATATGCAAACCGAGATGTTCTATACTTTGGGAAGTCTGCCAGGCAGCCTCTTGTCATTGTCAGGGAGTATTGAGGAATCCAGTTTCAACTTGGCGCAGTGTTTGGAAACAGCTTGGAGCCTGTCCGTTCCAGCATGCAAGTGATTGCCAATTCAATAACAACACTTCTGGACCCACCCATGATGCAGCATCTGATGGTTGATGTCTCAGACAGAAGTCTTTGTGCTGCAGGTTGACACAGTTTGATGTCAGTTTGTATTCATTTAATGCTCACTCTGTATGCAATAGCAGAAGAATGATCCTGTACTATTTATGAGACACCTGTGCTCAGTAATTCTCGGAGTTGGTTAAATAATACTGGTCCAATTCGTTGTCATTTGTATCCAGGTAGTGCAATCCAGAAGGTAGGACTGAGTGTTCATGTCTTCTAAGCAGATAGGATTAGAAGAGAAGGAACAATCTCAAAATCAAGAGGAAAATCAATAGGGGGAGGTTAATGTTTAGTATTTATTCTGAAAGCAACATAGATAAAAACTAGAGATAACACAGTGTGGAGCTGGAGGAACACAGCAGGACAGGCAGCATGAGCGGAGCAGGAAAGCTGACATTTCGAGTCGGGATCTACCTCTAGTAGAAGTAAAATATATTTGAGGGGTGGGATAGTCTGGCAGCTTTACTGAATTAGTAATCCAGAGATTTGAATTGATAGTCATTGAAAGTGAGCTCAAATCCCATCATAATCAATTAGGATTTTGAATTTTATTTAAACTAAGTGAGAAATAAAAATCTGGTTCCAATAAAAGTGATCATGAAGCTATAGAATTATTGCATTATTGTAAAAACTTGTTGAACCTGTCCTTTTGGAAAGAAAATCTGCCTTCCTCACCCAATCTGGCCTAGATGTTGCTCTAGTCCCAAAACAAAGCAGTGGTTTTCAAGTGCTCCCTGAAGAATTCAAGAAATAGGAGCAGAGAAGGCCATTCAGCCCCTCAAATCTGCTCCACCATTCAATACGATCATGGCTATTCTTTGTTTCAACTCCAATTTCTACCCCCATCTCCCCATTGCCTTGATTCCCAGAGATCAAAAATCTGTCTATTTTGGCTTAAGGCTATTCTTCGGAGGAGCATCCAGACCTACAGATGCTGCCAGACCTGCTGACTGTTTCCAGTATTTTCTGTTTTTGTTTCAGATTTCCAGCATCTGCAATATCTTGCTTTTGCATTTATACAGCACCTTTAAAGTCTTCAGGATATCCCAAACTGCTTCACAATCAGTACATTTAATGTGTCAACACTGTTGGAAATGTGGCACTGTAAGGTCCCCATATGCCACAATCAGCCTAGTTGAGAGGTAACTGCTGGTCAGCAGATCTTCTTTAATGGAATCACAGCATCCTCTATAATTATCCCAGGAGATTGATATGATCTTGCTTTAAGTGCTCATCTGAAAAGGTGGTATGACAAGACCCTTGAATATGGTTATAAAGTGTTGGCCATGGTTCTATTCTCAAGTGTCTGCAATGGTCTTGAACCCACAAACTACACCATCAGAAAGCCAGGCCTGTCTCTACTGATGCAGCTGATGGAGGCCAGTTTAGAAACCTGAGTGAGTGGAGTCAGGCAGGAGGGGAAAGAGAAGGGGTGCATGTCAACACTGTTTGCACTGCTCTTTGAGTATATTCCAAAAAGGCATTGGACTTGCGGCATGTATTATCACAATGTTAATAGCAGGATTCAGTTCAAACCGTGTTACTGCAGAGTCACAATCATTCCAGCTGCAAAGATGTCCGCTACCTCAGTGTAAAGTAGCTTTGGTTAGAGGGAATGCCAGAAAGGGAGGAACCTGGTGTCCAGTAATGAACTAGGATAGGTACGGCAAGTTACATGAACCTTGGATCACCAGGGATGTTATGACCTTGGTCAAAAAGAAAAGGGAAGCACACATAAGGTCTCGG